AAGGCTCCAAAATCAAATGTTTGTTAAAATTCAGGGCCTGTCTTGAGTTAAGCAAAAACCTTTCAGGCTGTATTTCTTTATAATAACAGTAATCAGTAAAATATTATGATGATTAAATATGATAACAAGGCAGGTGCTTAGGGCAGTACCTCGAGCTTATGAATTTCTCTATAATATAACTGATAGCTTTCTGATCTCACCCTCGTCCCATAAGATAGGATTCTATGCTCCAATATGCTGATTATATGACAATTTTCAAAATAGATTTTTCCTAATAATGTCAAATAGTAGAAGTAGAGCAACTATACTGAATTTTGTCAAACTGGGAAAATGTTAGAAGTGTTTTTAATCAATTAAATAATTTTCTTTATGGGAATTTAGACATATCATTATAAATTAGTTTTAAAGAAGTTAAAAATTTGAAAATACCAAAACAAATCTTAAATTCAATGTCACTGAGTCAGTTTTGACTCTTAGAGATCCTTTAGGACAGAGTACAGTTGCCCCACTAGGTTTCCAAGGCTTCAGATCTTTGTTGTGTTGTTGTTGTTATGTGCCGTCGAGTCGTTCGCGACTCATAGCGACCCTATGTACAACAGCCCTAAACCCTGCTCTATCCTGTGCCAATCGCATTGCCTCTGACACAACCATCCCGATTACCCCCGTCACTGAATCAATCCACCGTATAGAGGGTCTTCCCCTCCTGCACTGTCCCTCTACTCTACCCAGCATGATGTCCCTCTCTAAAGACCTGTCTCTCCTTACAATATGTCCAAAGTATGTCAGATGAAGCCCCAGAATCCTTGCTTCCAAGGAGCAGCCTGGTTTAACCCTCTCTAGGCTGAATCTGTTTGTTTTCTTGGCAGTCCATGGTACATGGAAGTAAAAAAACCAAAACCAAAACCTAGTAATTTAATCAAAGAACAGATCAGCCTGCTTTGTAAATATATACTAAAAACATAAATGGGAATATACCTGTTTATCTTTTGAGGCTGCAAAGGAATAATTGGGATCACTGTATTGCACAGGGACTTGCAAAGAGGGCAAAGATACTCTCCGCTCTCTAAGTCAAATAGGTCAACGTGTATGCGCTGCTGGGAGCTCAACTGTACAGCTTCAAAATACCTGTATAATTTAAAAGAAAAAACAAACAACAAAAATCACCCAAAAATTAAGTTGGCATGTATCTTCGCTTTAACTCAAATGAAAAGAAATCTTCAGAAACTAAAATTTTAAATATACATATTACAAATATTATGGAAAGAAACAGGGTTTTTCTTTCCATATTAAGGCAAACTGAAAGATAAATCATGCAGTAAAAATTTTCAATTTTATTAGACTATAATTCTTCCTCTGCCTCAACAAAGTAGAAGCATAATACAGACACTAATTCCTCAATTTTCCGTGACCAACTAAAGCAGTGAGGCCTGTTGTTGTTGTTGTTATGCACCGTCAAGTTGCTTGCGACTCATAGCGACCCTATGTACAACAGCCCTAAACTCCGCTCTGTCCTGTGCCAATTGCACTGTCTCTGACACTCCCAT